TAATAGCTATTCAGATCTTTAAATACGTGTAATATTAAAATTAATTTATACTAACTAATAATTATAAATTTACATGATAAAATTTAATATTAAAATTAAAACTGGCAATTTTAAAATCCAAATTTAATCACTATTAAGTTTAAAAACTACAAAATTATTGAGAAAAAAAAAATATATATGTTTATTCAATTCATTTCTTCATTGAAATTACGTTCGACAAGACAAGACGCTATAATACATCCAGTCATTTGATAATACATGTATATATATTTTTCTCTTTTTCCCTTTCTTTTCCGTTTTTATTTTAAAGTTTGTGAATATGGTCTTAAACTCACGCGTGACACAACAAAAACTTTTATTTTATTTTATTTTCAACATCATCACTTGATAAGACACAGAGTGTGTTGAAACAAAATGGCTATTTTTGTAGTGATTTTATAACATACTTATGTTATAAATTTTTTTATAAAAATAATTATATATATATATATATATATATATATATATTAAGGTAATAAAGGGTTTATAATCGAGAGTGCTCTGTAATTTCCCCAGAAAAATATTTTTCCTGGTTCATCAGGTCACATCTCTAGTTACAAAGGAATTTTTTTCTTTTATTTAAAGGTTTTCTCATTTTAATTTATATATATATATATATATATATATATATATATATATGTGTGTGTGTGTGTGTGTGTGTGTGTGTGTGTGTTTGGGGTGTGTGTATATGTCTATGCGCGCGCGTGTGTGTGCATGTCTATATTTGTGTGTGGTGTAATTGGGTGGCAGGTTTACATTTATTTATTTATCTTTGGTCGAAGAAATCTATCTCGGATCTAAAATGAATGGCCCGAGCTGGAGAAAAATTACATATAAAAAAGTTAAACAAAGAATTGTTATTATTCCTGTTCGCCTTTCGACTGATTCAGCCCGGTCTACTCCGCTTTCATCTATCTTAGTCCCTTTTAATTAACCTAATTTAGTTGATACGAGGGCTGATCAGAAAATATCCATACTGGTGCTATAAAAAGAAAACTACGAAACATATCAATCCGGCATTTAATCGCCTTCAAATTAGTCCCCTTCTGATGAGACACACTTTATCCAGCTTCGTTTCTATTGGTTGAATCATACCTGGAACGGCGTTTTTCGTAATAGTGAGCAGCTGCCTCGTCTCATTCTCTTGGATTTCCACTACATCTTGAACTCTTATTCCTTTCAAGTGGGATTTGATATTTGAAGAGGAAAATGTTGCAAGGGAAATATAGTTGTTGTCTGAAGTGTGGAATGCTTTTCTTAGTCAAAAACTGCTACTCAAGCCATAGTCACTGATCGAACCTATGTGGCATGGTGCGACGACCACACTCTACACACTTTCCTTCCAAGCACTGCTCTAAACAACAGAAGTGAGCAAGAACGTTACATAACATGTGGTCTGTGCCGTATTTGATATTCTGTTATCAGGTCAAGATATTCTTCCAAATTAACCCCAGTAAAAACAGAACCACGGCACTCTCAGGAGTCTCGCAAAAAAATAGCCAATAGTCCTAAAGGACTACTAGACATTGAAATTGGCTTTTTTCTTTAATCCCTAACAATTATTTAATTATTAGTCTTGCATTTCTTACAGCAATTCTTAAAGTGTAAGTGCCTTTTACCCGCCCCTGCATAGCTAGTCGATGCACACATTTGGCACAATAAACCTTTTAAAAGAAGGAAAATACAACATAAAACCTACGACAAAAAGAATCTGTTGGTACATTTTTCCATCAATGGATTATGCCAACTAATCCCTCTGTTTAAATGGTGAAGACAGTCACGTGCAAATAGTACTTCACGTAAATATTAAAACTGTTCACGTAAAAGAGTCTCCGCTTATCCATTTGCAAAGAGCCCTGTTGTGTTGGGCACGGAACGAAGTCGATTATTTTTGACTCTGGATGACTAAACTCCAGAGATATAACCACTTGCTATACAGAGACGGGGACCTAAAGAAAGTTTATCCACCAAGCGGTTATACTAGGCATAAACACCTCGTAAAAAACTCTACTCAAACGCAAAAATCATGCAACAATTTTCTAGTCATGACAGTATGAAGTATTTTATCTTTACAAGAGTCATATTAGTTCAGAAATACAGTATTGATGCCATATTCGGGCGAGAGTTTCCCAATTCTCACTTTCGGCCTTGATAGCGTTCAAAATCAAAATTACGCGGTCTTCTTGGGCCAATACCTATTCTACATTCTGCACTGTCTTTCCTATAGATGCAACATCGCAAGCCTGCCACTACACTACCCCATTTCCATGACAAATGCTCCGAAAATCACTCCTTAATTCTACCAGTTCAGAATTCCATGGCTAGGATTCGTTGTGCTACTTCCACGGAATTCAGTATCTCTCTATATTTCCTCATGAACACATGGCACATTGGATAAAGGTGTTAGTTAGATCCAGTGACAGGACCCAAAGAATATGAGTTCAATACCTGGATAAGGCGGTGAACTTGGAGAGGTGAATTAACAGGAGATAACTGATAACTGACATCCATTAGACATGACACGTGGAACTAGAACAGTCTTCCCCAGCGAGCGTAATAAAGGGTCCAGTTCGATATTCAAACCATCTGAAAGATTGTCGGGGCGTACAACGGCCGAAACGTTGTAATAAATATGGCAACAAAGATGAGGACAATAGTCCGAATAATGTAAATAGTCTACGGAATTGTAGCTTCCCAGAACCGCAAATGCACGAAGGGAATTGCAATCAGAGAGTTTTTTTTTCCAAGAACTGTGACTTTGCGGAACGAACTCGTGCTTGTCCCGTTGCTTTTACAACTACAATCTTAGCTTCTTTAATTCAATAGTCAATAGTTATCTATTTTCGGTATCCATTTTTCATTTCCTACCACTCGTTCATTAATTAATTCAAAACCTTGGGGAAGGCAACGAGAAAAACAAATCTATATTTTTAAAGATATCATGGCAACTCAAAGATAATGAAGACAAATGTGTCTGTGGTGCGTTATGATCACTCAGGACCTGAAGAGATATAGCATAGGGGACTATTCTGAATTTGAAACCATGGCAAATTTAAGTGGGAACATAAACACATTATTTCCAAAAGAATCATGGCATCTCAGAGATAATAAAAAAAATCGAGTCTATGGTGCGTCATGATCAACCAGAACCCCATCCACGGAAATAGAGGACACAGAGGGTATAGAGGGCATAGAAGACTAGACTGAATTTGAAACCGTGTAGAAGTTAAGTGGAAACAACAACACTATATTCCCAAAAGCTCATGGTAACTCACAGATAATAAAGAAAATGTGGACTGTGGTGCGTCATGATCATCCAAGTCCTGAAAATGTATGGCATAGACGACTACTCTGAATTTGAAACCATGTAGAAACATAGGGGACTAGACTGAATATGAAACCGTGTAGAATGTAAGTATTAAAAAACAATACTGTATTTCCTAAGACAAAATGATAATAAAGAAAAAAGTTGTCTACGGCGCGTCATGATCACTCAGTTCCTGAAGATGTATGGCATAGGCTACTACTATGAATTTGAAACGGTTTAGAAGTTAAGTGGAAACAACAACACTATATTTCCCAAAAGGTCATGATAGCTCATCGATAATAAAGAAAAAGTGGACTGTGGTGCGTCATGATCACACAAGTCCTGAAGAGATATGAAGAGATATGGCATAGGGTCTACTGTGAATTTGAAAATGTGGAGAATGCAAGTAGTAGCAACAAATATATCCCATGAAATCATACTAACTGACAAATAATAATGAAACCGAGTCCGTGGTACATCATGATTACTCAGGTCCTGAAGAGATATGGCAAAGGGGGCTACACTAAATTTAAAAACGTGGAGAAGGCAACGGGAAATAACGGCACTATAATTGTCAAGACCTCATAGTTAATCACAAATAGTAAAAGAGGGAATCTGTCGGGTGCCATGCCTGTGAATGACCTGAAGCGACTTAACAGAAATAAATAAAGCAAAATTGCAACTGATATTCAAACTGTGATCTTTAATCAATCAAGGATGATTAATTCAAATTCGATCATTTATACCAAAAGAAAATGTCAAGATGAGTTGCTCTTTGGTATGATGTAGGATTTTGAATTGACTCTTTGTGGGGAGGATGTTGTATTCATATCCACATTTACACAATATAAATAGCTGTTAATACAGCTGGAGGCTATACCAATCCTATTTTTTGGCTGGGATTGGTATTCCTTGATTATTATTCCAATGCTCAGGGGTCTAACCTCCAGGCAGTACCTCTCCCTCTGGCATTGGCTGGGTTTATTGCTCAGTGTCAAAAAGCAATTTCCGAGGGGGAATTTTTATATGACCCACCTTAAACCTCGACCTTGTGTCAAATTCGGTTGCAACACGGGTGCCCTGGTAGATACCGCTAATCCTAACTTTGAAGTCGAAACTACTAGAGAAATATTAGTGAATAGAATGTTGTAAACTATAATTAGTTAAAAATGTTCTCTACTATTTCTCTAGTAGTTTCGTCTTCAAGGTTAGGATTAGTTTAGTCTCCAGGTGTATCATCTGTTATTTATATGGTGGGCATTTGCATATGAATACAACAAATCTGTAATATTTAATCCAATTTGGTTTGGTGATATCACCGTATCCTTTAGTGACCTTTGTAAGTCCCTCTTATAGCAGTGGATCATTTCGTCCACACATGAAAGCAAGCTTGTTGCCTGGCATACGGCTCAGGCATAATGTGCATGACTTAAGTTCTGTTGCTTTCTTTTTCTGGATAGACGACATATGTTAACACCGCCAGTATTTTCTCACCAAAAATGGAGCATTGTTGCCATATCTTGGAACGATCTACCGAATACTCACTTTAAAGCCTCAACGGCGTTTACGCGTCCTTTTAGACGATGAATTATTATCCTCTATATAACCCCCTTTCTATGGATGCAAAATCGCATGTCTATCGCCATTTCAGCTAACGTCCACATCATGTTGAAACATTGGTTCCCGTTCGATCACAGAAGTTGAGCAACCCGAGCCTGATCAGTAACTAGATGGGTGACCACTTGGGAATACCAGGTGCTGTAAGCTTCTATGTGCGTGTGGTGTAATGGATAATGGCTTGGAATTGTTAATCGGAGAGCGGAGTTCCAATTCCCGTTGAGTTCGTTATATTCACTTCCACCGTCTTTCCTATAGACGCAACATCACAAGCCTGCCGCTACGCTATCCCCATTTCGATGACAAATGCTATGAAAATCTTTACTTCTTAGTTCCACCAGTTCAGACTTTCATGATGAGCATTCGTTGTGCTACTTCCACGGAAATGTGCCTTCCCTGAACCGCAAATGCTTAGAAGGAAATTGCAATCAGACAGTTTTTCCCAAGAACTGCCACTTTGAAGAACGAAGTCGTGCCTGGATGTGTCTTTTAAAACTATGAATACTATGATTCTACCTTTTCTCCACTAATTATTAAAACTTGTGAACCAATATTATCCTCTCCCGCCAAACAGAAAAAACATTCATACAGTCTAAAAATATTTTCTGGCTTCAAATAACCTGCAAAGTGTCGATACACCGTATAATACGAATCAATCAACCAATCGTAAAAGTACAAATCAATCAATTCTCCGGTAACTCGTGGATGCACCGACAGAAGCAGCAATGAAATTTAAGTGGAAGAGACATTATTTGTAGCCCGAAACCATGAGTGGAAGTTACACAGACATACGTGAACGTGGGTCAGTGCTTGCAGTAGTAATAGTTATTTTCAAAAGCAAACATAATTGAATCTTTCTTCTCTCTTTCTCTCTCTCCCCCGAGGAGGGGGAGGAGCTCTTCGATTTCTGACACGAAAATAACCCACCTTCTACTCTGTATAAAATGTGAAAGTCGATATCGATCAATATCGATAAACGTTTATCGATCGATACAACTTAAAAAAAAAATAAAAAAAATAAAAAAAAAACGAAAATAGCAACAGTTCAATTCAATTTTGTAATCCAGTGAATCAGTTCTAGGAAACGATGAACAAAATGAAATATCTTTGAGACAATACGACGAAAAAGATGTAACAGGCTTTAAGTAATAAATAATGAAAAAATAATAATAATCGATCAACTTTCATTTTCATGCAACTTTAATTATTCGCTATAGATTCATAGAAATTGAAATTCTGAACTCTCTGCTCAAAAAATTAACGTAATGACAATTACCTGAAAAATTGCTATTCTTCTATGTTTTAGATATTCTTCTTATATACGTCGTGTCCCTTCAAGACGTTGCTGATCATAGCTCTCCACAATTTCCTGTCATTTTGTAGCTCTTATCTGATTTACTGATTTTATTTAGCGACATATCAACCTCTATGAATTATTTAATGCCGTAATCTAAATATTTTATATTAGTTAATTTTTATGCTTTCATTTATAGATATTTTATACCTAAGTTTATACTTTCAAAGTAAAGGTATGTAAAAAAATAGTTATATTGTTTGTAGATCATAAAAAGGACTATTGGTAATTTTACTATAAAAATGTATTTTTATATTTTTTAGTGTTGCATTGATTGTCATTTTGCTATAGGAATGTATTGTTGTTCATTTTATTATAAAAATGTACCGTTGATTTTTGTTTTGGGGTTCACTATTTGCCCATAGATGGGACCCTAACCTCAAAATCTTGAATCTTGCTACTCGATGTAGTTTATCGTCATACCCGACACTATAGCTTTTAGTAAATTTTGTCATTTTGTCATCTCTTGTAAACCCTGTTTCGTCATCCATTTACTCTAGCTCGTTCTTCTTCTTCTTCTTCTTCTTCTTCTTCTTCTTCTTCTTCTTCTATGTGCCGTGTCTCTTCAGGTCATTAAGGATCATGTCTCTCCACAATTTCCTATCCTTTTTAGCTCTTAATAAAATTTCTCTTTATGTTATCTCATGTAAACCTTGTTCCGGTATCCATTTATCCTAGTTCGTTCGTTCGTTCGTTCGTTCGTTCGTTCGTTCGTTCTTCTTCTTCTTCTTCTTCTTCTTCTTCTTCTTCTTCTTCTTCTTCTTCTTCTTCGTACCGTCTCCCTTCAGGTCATAAGCGATTATGTCTCTTCAAAATTTCCTGCTCTTAATAAATTTGTCTTTTTCTTTTCACTCTTAAAACCTTGCTTCGACATCCATTTCCTGAGTAGGCTATATGTTGTTTTCTTCTGTTCTTCTTGCTTTCAATCTGTCCTGTGAATACCATTTTTTCAAGGACCTCTTTTCTCATTATGTGCCCTTGAAATTACAACTGTCTCTTCCTGACGTTAAGTATATATTTTTTTCTTTTTTTGCCTCAATTTTATCTCAAACTTCCTCGTTGCTCACATGTTCAGTCCATGGTATTATCGGCATCGTTCTCTAGAACTATATTTCTGTTGCCTCAAGTCTCTTCTTCATCTCTGAAATTGTCCAGCATCCACTTCCATATGGAGGATACACATTTCAATACTCTACTTTTTCTAACGAAGTTTTTCTGTTCTTGATACTTTGCTTACCTTTTAGAAGGCATCTTTCGTTATCTTAATACGCCTTTTTTTTACTTTTATTTTATCTCAAGCTTCCTCGTTGCTCACATGTTCAGTCCATGGTATTGTCGGCATCGTTCTCTAGAACTATATTTCTGTTGCCTCAAGTCTCTTCTTCATCTCTGAGGAAATTGTCCAGCATCCACTTCCATATAGGAGGATACGTAACATTTCAATACTCTACTTTTTTCTAACGAAGTTTTTTCTGTTTCTTGATACTTTGCTTACCTTTTAGAAGGCATCTTTCACTATCTTAATACGCCTTCGGATTTCCGTGTCGCTCTTTCTTCCCTCTGTTAAAACACATCCCAGATATTTAAATACTTGTACTGTTTGATTTTGGTGTCTTCAATTTGTAATTTGCATATTGGTCTGATCCGTTTTTTTTTTAGAAACCATTCATTCTGTCTTCTTACAGTTGATGTTTAGTTCTTTATTTTCGCTTTTCTTCACTACATTCTGTAAGAATTCTTATACTTTCATTTCTGTCTGCTATAAACACTGAGTCATGTGCATATCTTATGTTGATAAGATTATGGCTGCCAACACTGATTACTGGTATGACTTCTAATTCTCTCTTTTGAGACGTTAGAAAGAATGAAACTCAAGATGCCATTGAACATGCAATCTAAGTGTGAAACTTTCTTAGATTTAATCAAAGAAATTGAAAAATGTTCTTATTCCATCGTAAAATCCTCGTCGCCATATTATAGATTTCACAAATCTAAACTTACTTTATCTCTCTTGAATTCGTCTTATTTCCCAACGGAAAATGAATGTAAGCAATAAACATACTAAGCAGACGATCCCACCCACAAGAACGTTTATAATACAGAAGTCTTCCCGTTTTACATGCACATTGAGTTTTATAGTATTAACACATATACTCCTGGCATCAGTTTAAAATAAAGCCTTTTCCCATTATATTATGAACATAATACTTAAGATTCGCTTTTTTTAAGTTTCAGATGAAAATTTGGAAATTTTACTTTCCAAAATGATAATTTATAATTATAGTTTGGGTATATGAAAATAAAGATGGCATTAATTTAAATTGGCGCTGGTAGATTAAATTGATGCCTACTTATTTTCATATGTTGTAACTATATTGTTTAAACTTCATATTATATTGATTTCAGATAAAAACTTGCACATTTTCCAATATATTTCAGTGAGATTTTGCCTTTCCAAAGTTATAATTTATCATTATATTTTAGACATATGAAAAAAAGATAGCATCAGTTTAAACTGGCACCAGGAAGATATAGCCTAAACTGGACCCTTCGTTTTTCCGGGTAATTTGACCATTTTGCCTGTTGTTAATATTGTCCTGATTAGGATGAAAACTTGGAAAATTTTCAAACATATTTTAGTGGAATTTCCACTTCCCAAAATCTTAGTAAGTTATTATAGCTTAGATATATGAAAAAAAGAAGGTATCATTTGAAACTGAAATCAGGATGATTTGGGTCCAGCTGATTCCTTGTTCTTTCTATATATTGGGACCATTTTGCTGATTTTCAAACATATTTCAGTGACATTTTCACTTCCCTAAATTATAGCCTATAATTAACTTCGCGATCACAAGTCCCATAACCCATTCGGGTCTGGGATGCGCCATATATACAAGCAGCCGTAGTAGCAGTTGGTGTGTCTTAGGCAAGATAACCTGATGGAAACCATCCCTCTTCAGGGTGATTTTGAATTCAAAGTCGTCCTTCGCCTAGACAGGTTGCTGCAATTAGGCTAGAGATTTCCGTCTACTTTTAGCTCAGGGAGAAGACTTTGTGCGAAAATGAACGCAATATTTTAGCCTGGAATATTAATTCGGTTAGCCAATTCCACTTTCGGCACTGACATCCATTAAAGTTATATATAAAGAAAAAAAAAACGAAGACCTCAATTTAAACTACCGCCAGAATTATAAAAATTGATAATAATTATTGCCTTCAGTATGCATTTCGCCTTGCTAAATCCACAATTGAGGTATTAACAGTTATGACACACAGAATTAGCGAGGTATTATGTAATAAATTAATCACGGGTACCATTTCGATGCATATATCCAAAGCTTTTGACACGGTGTGGCACCAGGAGCTACTATAAACTCTCCAGCTATAGAATCTCTTGAAGGTCTCTGTCAGTTATCAAGTCCTTCTTAACACGAAGGTCGTTGTTAACGGAAGGCCATAAATGCTGCCGTTCCATAGGATTCCCTTCTCGGTCCTACCCTCTTTCTATCATATATTAATGATCTGTCTAAGGGTGTACTTAGGCCATTAGTCAGTATCTATGCAGAAGAGGCAGCAGTTAATAGGTGACCCTTCAAAGATTTGTAAGACCAGAACCTAACAGGTCATATCTCCTCTGACCTAACCCGGGTGGCTCAAGTCTCGGGTTAATAGTTAACTTTCCTGCATTGTTCCACGAATTTCAGATCTTGCTTTTCTTACGCTCCTACAAGGCCACTTACCAACCCTATACCTTGAGTAGATCTTAGGGCCTGTATCCGGGAAACATTAGTATA